TTTCTTACACCACATCAGTGAAACCAAGTTTCCTATCAAGCCGCGGGTATGATTGGTTTCCTTCTACTTCTACATATGTAAACTGTGCCCACTATTTTCCCTGGGTCTAAATCTCACCTCTTCAGTCTCAGTGGATTGATTGAAATTCCACGGAAGAGGCCCATTGTCGAGGATCCTGTCAACACGCCCTTTCCCCCCCCCCCCCCCCCCCCCCAAAGGTAACCTCTACAAAGCTGCGTCTCAATGGCTAACACACCAGACAACAATCTTTTGACGTTCAAAGAAGTGATTTGCTTTGAACCCCTCTGCTAGGCAGTGCGCACTTGGTATCCATCCTCATCTTATACTCAGGGGCTGGGCTCGGCCCTCCCCTGTACCACAGACCCTGAGGCATCTCGCCTGGCGAGCCAGCCTTCTTGTCTCCCGCATATCTATTTGTAAAATATTCTTTGTCCTTCATCTCGTCACTTTCAACCCACTGGCACCTTGTGAATGAAAGAATCAGTTCACTGATACTGAAGTCACCTCTGTTATACTGCTGCCCAAGGACAGGGACGATGGCATTGGTCGCTTCCCGGGCGTGGTAGTGGGGGATCTTAGAGAAGAGATGGTGAACGACATGGTCCGTGGAGATATTGTGGAAGAAGTGCACCCCTATAAAACCCCATGGCCATGAAAAGTACCGATCCATGGTGGCGGTTGCGCCCAAGACGAATGTCCACTCTTCAGAGGTGTATTTTGGGATATCAGGATGGGTGTGGTGGAGGTAAGTGATCATGACTATCAAATATTGCAGATGAGCTAGTGAAGGTCGTCTGTTTGCTCGACTTTACTTACCAATCCAGTGATTAACCCACATCCATGGCGCAATCCACAGCCAGAAGACATCTGAAAATGCTCCGGTGTGCTTGTACAACAGCCAAAGGCCGACGAGCGTGCTAACGCATCCAATATCGGAAATAATGACGGCGTTGACTTCGGAACTCCTAAACAAGGATCCCCAAGGATCCAGGTGACTATGTCGCCAGAATGGCATTCCTGGTTTAATTACGGCAGACGGCGCGCAAGCGATGTTGGTCAGGACATACCAGACCCAGCCGACAGTTTGTTGCAGTACAATTCTGAAGAAAAGCCAGGCAGGTGCATCTTCGCCAAGCTCGTCTAGCTTTCCAGGCTCCAAGCTGAGCTTGGCTGCGTACTCATTTCGAAGAGGCGGCACGTAGTTGTGATCTTTCTCCATGTTTCCAGCGTAGATATGGTGACGGCGATGAGTTGACTTCCAGGAGAAGTACGGGGCAAGGAGAAAGGAGTGAAGAATGAAGCCAATGATGTCGTTCACGGCGCTTATCGTGGAAAAGGCGCTGTGGCCGCACTCGTGGGCAATTATCCATAGGCCGGTCCAAACTAGGCCCTGGACAAAGCTGTGAGTCAGAAGCACAAAATACTTGATGTACAAGTACGGCGCTTCCCAGCCGAATTCCGAAATCTTTGCATAGAGATAACAGAGCAGTGTTGCGTAGGAAAGATCGCGGAAGAGGTAGAAAAATGACCAGAAATGGTTAGGCTTGAAGCAATGAGCTGGTATGGCCTGTCGAAGCTCCATGATCCCAACGTGAGCTTTCACCAATGGTTTCTGAAGTGAATGTCAGTGAAGGATGCACAGATAGCGTTCATTTGTTTCACCTCCGCTCTATCGGACAGAAACTCAGTGGGATGGAGTTCTTCGGCGGTGTCAAAGCCGGTCCTCTGCGGCTCTTCGGAAGGGAACATAATAATTGTTGAAAACAAAAACGTTGCAACAGGCTGAAGGTATTCACAGCAGCAATGAAGCCGGCTTCCCAAAAGTTGGTTCGCAAGATACGAGAGACAGCAATGCTGAAAACTAATTGCATTGGAGGCATTGAGAATTGTGTCAACGTTGGCGATGATTCAATACTTATAGTATGTTCACCGCGCAGGATATCTGTAGAGCAAGTGCCTGATTGATCGTCTGATGGCCCGGTCAAAAGGGGTTAATACACGAACGTCAGCTAACTAGGCATACACGCAAGGGAAAACCCGGATATGGGACTGCATAGTGGAAAAAGCGGAGATTACATTTGTCAAGTTTGCTTCCAGAGTGGGTTCAGGTTGAAGCAGGAAGTAACCGACACACAATTTTGGTTGGGCCGTCTTTGCTGAGTCTGGTGTCTATTGGCTTGAGATGTTTGTTTGCTTTGCCCAATGACGGCTGATTGTAGGACCTTTGCCGCTTTCCAGCTTTCAACTAAATAGCGCAACCCAGGTTGAAAAGCGGCAAATCTTGGTCATATTCCCTGCGATCGCAATTTTGTTTGCAGCGCTGGTAACCAAAGAGACCTGGCAGTAGTTCTTTTCAGCCGATCCAGTTCAGCCGATGGATCTGTTAAGCGGCACATAGTCATCACAGCACCTACCGTGTTGTGGAGCTCGTTACATATGGAACACTTGGTGCGGCACAGGCAGTCCAAATGGGCTTCACTGTCCCTAAAGCGACATGCTGCTTGAAGCCGCCACACCATGACTAACATGCGCTATAAACACCTTCTTACCAATCATCAACATCTCAGGAAGTAACATACAATACGGAGATTATACGCAGTCGTTTTTTTCACCTACTTCATGGTTGTTGGTGCGGCTGTTTCGGTGGCATTGCCCTGTTGGTTTCTTCTATTGGTGACTCCATGTAGTCGCAGGGAAAGTGTACCAGGGGTGCGACGGGTGCTTCTGGGCCGACAATCACTCACTCTCACTCATCTTGTTACTTGGCCCAGTTGACTCAGGAACCAAACATCAACGCGGAAGAGCAGGGTTCACTTTTGAACCGATTGAGAAACCGCATGTCATTGCGTGCAGGGAATCCCAAATCTATCTACCTATCTACTGAGTACCCGGCCCTTCTCCCTGACAAGATCGTCCGTCCCTTTCTACAGGTCGCTGGAACCAGCAAGTTTACCTCCAAATATCCCTCGCATCTAGAGCTTGTGTCATGTTATCAAGCTCGTGATCCAGCCTCCTCGCATTATTGTGGCAGACAGAAGATGTTCCTTGGGGGGAAACCGCATGCATCTATTTGCCCTCAATGTCGATTTTGTCCTTCTCATCACTGATCTCGCCCTTCTTGGGATAAGTCATAGCCACCTGGTAGCATCCATACTTCTTAGCCCTGCGTTCAATTTCCTCCTGCAGGTCGAATTCCGGTTCACCAGGCTTCAGGTTGTGGAAGGAGTCTACCAGCTCCTGCATCTCTTGGTTGATCTTGGCATGTTCCTCGGGCTTGACCGGCTTGACGAAGCGCTGAAAATCAACCTTGACGCCAGGGTGGCGAATAAACGCATTGGTTTGGCCGGAGTAGGCAATGCTGCCGCGGGCCCAGATATACTGGTTTGCATCCAACCAGGAGATGAGATCGGCCGGAATGGTGCCTTGCTTCTTCTCCAGCTCAGCCTTGATGTTTTGACCAAGCGTCTGCTTGCCCGAGATCATCCACTCGTTGAGCGTGTCTCGGCCGACACCACAGGTAGTGATGAGGTGAACATAGATGTCGAAGAGCTTGGCGACGTCGTCTCGGTGACAAATGACCTCGAAGCCGTAGCCGCGGAAAGCCTTGGTCACCTCGAAACCAGGACAGAATCCCTTCTTGACTGCGGCGATGAGCCCATCAGTGACCGACTCGTCCTTTCCAAAGGCTTCCTCTGCAACTTCCTTGGCACGAGCTCTCATGAGCTTGGCTGCCACTTCGGTGTCCATACCAGACGGCACGGACTGAGCCGTCATCTGCTGCATCAAGAGGCTCTCGAAGCTTTCGCGGTCAGGGCAGATCCTCTTGAGCTGGTCAAGAAGCTCCTTGGGAAGACGGCCAGGCTCAGCTTGGGTGTCTCCATCTCCTAGGGAAGAGTCCCAAATGTACTGGTGTTTACTGAAGAACTCGATGAGGTGGTCAGGGACAACACCAGGCTCAGAGTCGAGACGAGCCTTTATCTTTGCAGCGAACGCCTTGCCCCCCTTGGAGCGCATGGTGTTGAGTGACCTAGCGGTGATGCGGTAACCTCCAATGAAGGCCTCGTAGAACTCCCAAAGCTTGCGAAAGTCGACAAAAGAGTTGGTTCGGTCCATGAAGAAGTCCTGGAGGGCAGCACGGTCCATGGGGGCGTCGCCATTCTCGACGATCGCATCGATGATGATCTCAGCAGAGGTCTTGCGCGGCATTGTGATTGTTGATGTACGTTATCTACCGTCCAATCTGTCAGTTTATACACAAGACCTAGCTTGATCAATGATACATACCAAGCGGGTTTCTCTAAGATCTGAGATGGGTTGTGAGTGGGCGGGGTGGCTAAGATTGACTGGAGGTGGAAAGTCGGGGAGTGGGCTTGTGTTGCAATTGAAAGCTCGAAGAATTCGTGGACGGAAGATGGAAAGAGGAGGAAGGAAAATTCTTTCGTGGTAGAAAAGAAAGCAAGAGCAGAGAGTGGTGGATGGATGGAAGTCGAAAGGCGGTAATGGGAAATTTTTCACGGGGACGGAAGTGAAAGCGGGCCAAGAATGGTCTGTTTGTTGCATACTAAGAAGGAAGGCAGGGGCTGGCTCAATCACACACCTGATTCTGTGATCTACCTGCATCTTCCCGATGTCGTCCAGGAAGGGCCCGCCTTGAAGGTTTTTTGTTGCTCCCCGCCTACTTCATTCCTCTACCATACTGTGACACATTTGCTCAAGGCTCCAGCACTTCATCCAATCATCTACTTTGTTCATATGCTGCCTTCCCTTTCTGTGATTACCTGTCTCTTGCGATACTTTGATGCACTAGGTATTTCTTCTCCTAAAACCAATTCCTCACTTACACCGTCGGCGGTGACCCACCCACCTTTCAACGGTTCCCTTGGCAATATCCAGATGCAATGTTTCCAGGTAATACGCCAATGTACGTTTGGCCTCGTGACGCTTGTAAAAGGACGAGCGACATCTTCAAATACAATTCGTCAAGCAACCACAAACGTTGACTCATCCCATCCGTAGACCTTCCCCAGTCGTCTTGATAGTATCAGGCTGCGATATCCCTCGATCTGTCCGTTGTGAGGACGGTGCAGTGTAATTGATCTTTTCTCCATCGCTCCAGCTTCCGGAGTGAAAGTCACTGCTGAACCGGAGCACCGTGCTACTGAAAACCCTAGATATCCCATTGCTCTCTCAAAGGCGTTCCAGCTTACTCTTGTCCTCGCTCTGTCTTTTCCCATGATGGTCCAGAATGCCTCAGCGGTGACCAAGTTGACTGTTTTCGGCGGGACTGGAGCGCTGAGCATTTCCTTATATTCTAGCTTGTGTGGTGCTGATGCGTCTCTGACCTGTAGTCGGGAGATTTCGGATGGAAGTTCTTCTTTGGCTTGTCGCTCCTCTCTCTTTCTGGTTCGGGGGCAGAACTTGAGCACTTGGGTGAGTATTTCATTCAGAAATTTGAGCACGTGCAGTTGATCTTGGAGGGAGATGAATTGGGCGGCGTATGGTGAGTGGATGTTTTCTCCTGGGGCAAGTTCGGATTCTGGCAGAGTGACGCTGCGGCTGCCATCAAGAAGTTCTTCGTCAGTGCCATGGACTTCATCGGGGTTGTCGAGGATCGTCTTCTTGCGAACTTCGTTGGAAGTTGGGCATGGAATTCGATTGCCTGCGGTATGAACTTACCTGACTTGTCCCCCAGCAGTCCCTGCTATGTGACACTCGACCCATCTCAGAAGCACTTCCGGGTCTGAAGTGACGTCTTGCAGCCGGAGGCTGACGCCTGGTATGTCGAAGAAGACGTCTTCACAAGAAGTCTCTTTTCGGTTTGGGGAGCTCTTGGTGCCATTGATTGTCGATAAGCATTGAGCCCGTTCTTTGCTGCTGAATGAGCGCCAGCGAGTATTGATCCTAGCACCATGTTTGCCGACCTCTTGTGAGAGAGCATCATGTTGGGTCTTCATGGCTTCCAAAATGGTCTGATTATGGAGCTCTCTGGCTGAATTTTCATCCCGAGGACGACGGCGGCCCTGTTTCCTCCGTGGCGATGTGGGTGGCAGTTTCATCGGGAAATAATGCTGCGACTTAAATGAGGTTCAGCCGATTTGTTGGTTGGCTGATTGGATGATCGGTCGAAAAGAAGCAAGATATCTGCAAGTGAAGGGTTGTTTGTCCACCGCCCACACTCGGCATCAGCCTTCTGGGTCGCTTGGGAGGTGAGAGCGGCCGCAGGGTGAATACAGGAAAAACCAATCATCCTCCAGCCGTGTTTGCCCCCAGCATACTGGGGAGGCAACAACAGAAAGAGGAACGAAGATGAAAACAATCATACAAGCAGCTGGTCCCTGGGAACTTTCGAAACTATAACGACGACTTTGCATAGATTTTCCCCCAGTCATACATCCTAGGGCAAAATAGAAAACAGGCAGGTACTACTTATCCCTTGTTACCTCCCAGTCACACACTCGTCAATTAGTAACAAATTCTTCAGGATCCATATGCATACTATGCTCCTGGCGAACATGTCACAGGCCAAAGTCTCGAAGCATTAAAAGCGACGTCGTATTAGGCCCCCCCCCCCCCCCCCCCCCCCCCCCAGACCTGGTGCTGGCCGCAGGCAAGGATCCCCGCCACTAGCGCGCACCGATTCCCTGCATCCTGCCTGATCTGGTAAGGACCCACTCTGTGTCGGCGCACGGGCAGTCCCCTGTCCAAGCCCAGGTGAGAAGGGGTGTGGGGGTTTGTCTGTGCTTGAGCGAGCATTAGGTACCTTCCGTCATCTCAAGATCCGGAAGATCTGTACTTTTCCCCCCTACCAACGCTATCTCACCCTCAAAATCGTCGCATCACATCCAAACCATGACTTCCAAACCATGACTTCCATCAGTCGTAGCGAAGCCATGAGGCGAGGGTGGGAGACGAGACGACGCAACAAAGCGGAACGCCTCGCTCTAGAGGCTCAGAGACGCGCCTCGCCAAACGCGTCCCCTGCTGCCGCTGCTTCATTCAATGATGTAAGCTATCTCAACCTCCAAGCCGGTATATCCCTTTCTCACCATAATCCCAGTCTCCTATGGCCCGATCTCGCCGTGTGCCAAAGCCAGTTCGGGTCCAGTCCTAGGAGGATGACGCCGCCCGGCCCGCACAAGAAGTTGCAGACCATGCGGTTCCCCCGGAGGTATGTTCATCCATTCTTGTCACCCGATCGCTACATGTTTTGCTGACCTTCGATGCCACCGCAAAAAAAAGGCTACCACAGATTGCCTGAACACCTTCGCTGATGTCATCGATTCCATCCTCGGATACAGGGTAGACGTCGTCGATGGCGTTGAGCTGAACGTCAGATACGCAGATAAATCCACAGCCTGGAAGTCTGAGTACGATATCTCTTGGCTGGCCCACTCCAAGGTGCTTGACTTTTGGAATCGCTTCCCTGGCGGTCGGAATGAAGCAGTCCTAGCCTTCAATGGTGGATGGATCCATTGTCCCCGAGTCATGGCTATCATTGGCCATCGGAAGGTCTCAGGTCTTTCTCTGCAGTTCAAGGTTATTTGGCAAGGACTTTCACTGGAGAGGGTCTCGTGGCAATCCGAGTCGGGAATTGGATCGGTCTGCAAACCTGGCACCATCGAAGGCTACTGGCGCGCCGCTGCTGTTGAGCCTCCCGGTCAAGCACTGGCTCAGAACGCATGTCTTCCGGCCACCCATGTAACCATTGAGGAGGTTTGGCCGTGGGCATCAGCAAGCTACATCAAGGAAGGAGGACTTGGCTCAGCTGCGACTTGAGTCAGATCGGGCTGGGAGATTGAGTGGTGCGAATTCAGCCAGTAGGGTCTGTCTTAGCGCTTCACGGCCCTTTTCCACAGTTCTTATCCTCATTAAACCTTGTTCGGGTTCTGTAAGACAAGTTCATGCTAGAAGATCCACAGATGTTGTCAGAATAAACTATAGATTGAACCTTTCTTCCCTTCTAATGTGACGATAGGCTCACGAAGTATGGCTAACGCGCAATAGGTGCTAACCTGGATTAATTGATATTGAGTTGCAGAAAGAAAAAGTCGGAAGTGGGGGCGCGGGCGCGCGAGGCTCTATAGGCGCGCCCAGCGCGCTCGCTATAGGTCACATGCTTAGGTATATGACGCGCTCTAAGGTAGGCATAGCGCTAGCACTATAATAGTACCCCCCCCCTTCTTTATAGGTTTTTATCTATAGAAACTACTTATTTCATATATAAAAGTAAAAATCCCCTACTTTAAGGTTTTTTTTTCTTCCTCTATATATAATAAAAAGAGTATATCTATTAATATACTAGCTAGAGGTTATAAATATAATATATACTAAAGTAGCTATAAATAAGATTTATATTAATAGCTTATAGAAGTTATATTTTAATACTATTATTACTATTTTATATATATATATATATATGTATATATATATATATAGCTATCTAATTATTATAATTATAAGCTTTATAATAAATATAAATATAAAGATATTTAGAGGCTATAAGCTATAGTTAGGTTAAACTAATAGAAGAAGTACCTAAAAAGTAACTATAGTATTACTATATTACTTTTACTTACTTCTTTTAAGATCTCCTTTTCTTATCTTTTAATAAATACTTACTAAGTCCTTACTATAGAGGGTTTTATACTTTATTTTTATAGAGTTCTCTATCTTTTTAAGTTAATCTAGCTAAACTATCCTTAAACTTTTTTAGTCTAAATAGCTAAACTTTTATAATTATCCCCTTTTTAATTATAATAGTTTTTATTATAAAATAAAACTAATAGTAAATAAAAACCTCTATAATTTATAATAAGCTCTTATAGTTATTATTATTATTATTATTAACTATCTTTATTATTTATATAGTAGTTATTTATTATATATTTACTAAAGCTCTTTTATTTCTTAGTACTATTATTATCTCTATAAGTTTTATAATCCTACTTTTAAAGTTAAATTATTCACTTTTTAAAGTTTCTTTAAAAATCTCTCTTACTTCTTAAAAAAAGAAATTATCCCTATAAAGTTTATATTTTTTACTTATAAGTATTTTTATTCTTTACTTAATAAGTCCTCTCTAAATAATAACTTTATAATAACTTTATTTTTTATTCTATTTATCCTTTTTTTAAAATAAGTATATTATAAAGCTATTCTAAATATTAGATAATAACTATTATTATTTGTTAACATAGGTATAAGCATATTTAGGGGCGTAGTATATACGCCTATATAGTATAGGGTTATAGATAGAGTTAAGTTATGATAAAAAGTGATAATCCTAAGCATTTATAGGTATTTAATTATATAGATAATAATAAGGGAAGAGATATATTATGATGATTCCTATTTTTATTATTAGCAGGTTATTCTTTATAGTAGGGAAAAGTGAGGGGAAAAATAACCTGAAACGTAACCTACTAAACTGCTAATTATATAAGGTGCTTACGTAACTATACGTATTATATAATTAATATTATAGTTATAGGTTATAATAAATAAAGCATTTTTATATAAGGTTTTATACCTTAAAGTCTATTAGTTTATTTTATATAGAATATTTAAGTAAGTAAGTATTCTTATAAGTATTATTATTATTATATTAGATGTTATATATTAATATCCCCCCTTAAGGTATATATAGTTGATTTATAGTATATAGCTTACTTACTTAATATATATATACGTTATAAGTATAAAAAACTTGAAAACCTAGTAGGAAAAATAAGAAAAATACTCCTATATTATATAATATATTTATATAACTAGTTAAAAAACTCTTATTAAAGAACCTTATAAGTAAAAAGGTAAGAGAAAACTAGTAAGTTATTCCTTTAATATAGTTATTATTATTACTATTATTATTATTATTATTATTATATATTATATTAAGTATATTATTAAATATAACTTTGCCTAAAGGCTTAGTTAATATATCTGCAATGTTAGACTTAGTGTCTATATAAAATAACATTATATCTTTATTTAATAAAGATTCTCTAGCAAAATAATATTTAATATTAATATACTTAGATTTTTATAAAATTTAGGATTTTCAGCTAGCTTTTTAGCTACTAAGTTATTTATAAAAATTTTAGGTTTATTTATAGTATTAAAACCTAGATTAGTTAAATTAAAATTATAACTATTATATAGATATAAGGCTTCTTTTACTACTTCAGTTAAAGCTATATATTTAGCTTTATAAGTAGATAAAGCTACTATTTTTTGTTTTATAGTACTATAAGTTATTATATTATATAATCCCTAGTAAAATATATAAGCTAATATAGATTTTCTATTATCTAGGTCTCTAGCCTAATTAGAGTCTAAATAACCTATTAAATCCTATATTATATTATTATTATAGTTATAATAGATTCCTTTATTAGGATAATTATTTATATAACCTTATAGATAATCTAGAGCTATAAAATACTCTTTAGAAAGGTTTATTATATATCTTAATAATATTATAACTACTAGAGCTATATTATATCTAGTTTTTAAAGCTAGATATAAAAAGGCTCTAATCTACTGCTAAAATTATAGAATTTCTTCTTTAATAGCAATATATTTATTTATATATAATTTTATATTATCTCTCATAAGAGTTATAGATAGATTTATATTAGTTTTATTATATTTATTTAATATCTTTTATATATATTTAGTTTGATATATAAAGAAAGACTTATTAGGTCTATCTATATTAAACTTATAGCTTAAGAAGGTATTAAGCTCCCCTAAAAGTTATATTTTTATAAATTACCTTAGTTTATTATATATATAGTTACTGGTAATAATATTATTAGCTACTAATAGTATATTATCTATATAGTTATAAATTATAGCTTTATAGCTATTTTTATTTAGTATAAATACTACTTTATTATAAGGTGAAATAATAAATCTTAATCTTAATAATATAGTTTTTAAATAGTTATACTATAGTCTAAAGTTTTATTTTAACCTATATAAAGCTTTAAGAAGCTTATAGTAATATTTATTATTATTAGACTTATAATTATAATTAGGATTAAATTCTAACTTATTTATAGTTTTATTATATAAAAAACCTATTAGTAATATTATATATATATCTATATCTATATTAGTATATATAAACGCTATAGTAATATTATATTATAAAAGAATCTAATTTTCTTTTATAGTAAATATAACTATAAACCTATAGCTTTTAAGTCTATAGGTAGTAGAAAAGGTTTCTAAGTAATTAATACCTAAATATTAATTAAAACCTTAAGTAACCTATCTTACTTTATACTTATAAATATTATTTATTTTATCTTTTAATTTTATAGTATATACCTATCCACCGCCTAAAGATAAATATTATCTAGTTTTTATATAATTTCCTAAGTTTTTATATCTTCTATTTAAGTTATTTCTAATTATATAGCCTAAATCTAATTATCTTTATAAGGAGAATTTAAGGCTTATCTTATACTAAAAGGCTCTTCTAATATAATAACTAATAGTATATAAGAAGCTTTATATATAGAACTAGTTCTAATAGTCTTATTATTATTAGTTATAATGTTATTATTTATTTTATATATACTAAGAGCAGGGTAGTCCTAAATAGTAAATAATAGTGCACTTTTAGTATTATTAACTATATTATTAACCTATTAGTAGTCTTTTTTAGCTTCTTCTAATAGAGAGGGAATCTCTATTAATAACTTAGATTTTTATTTATTTATTTCTCTATTATTAATATTAGTAGTTTTTATACTATTATTATATGAACTACTCATATTAGTATTAGTACTATAGCTATTATTATATGAAATAGTACTATAATTTTTATAGCTATTATTAATAGTTTTATTATTATTATTATTAGTTATATTATTATTATTATTAATAATAGTCTCATTACTTAGATTCTTAAGAGTATTATTTATTATAGTAATATCTCTACTTATAGTAGAATTATTACTATAAGAGATAGATTAACTAGAAATATCTCTTAGTAGACTATTATAGGTAGTATTATATCTATTATTATTAAGTATAATACTACTATTAGTATCCTTAAAGTAGGTATTTATACTTATAGGAAGCTCTTTATAATAAGAAATAAAGGTATTTTCTAAGATTTCAACATCTTAAGACTATAAGGCTCTCTTTAGTTATATATCCTAGATTTTATACCTATTAGATCTATAATTAATTAGTGATACGCCTGATTAATAGCTCTACTTATAGGTATTAATATAGCTATTATATTAGCTATAGATAAGCCTATAGATAAAGCTATAGATAAGGCTATAGATAAAGCTATAAGTATAACTATAGGTATAGCTATAGGTATAGCTATAAATATAACCTTCTCTATAGCTATAGGTATAGCTATTAAGAGGGTATCTTTATATATACTTATTAATCTAACTTATAATATAAGATTTATTAAATAGTAGTATAACTTAAAAACTATAGCTATATTAATTCTCTTAATTAGAGGCCTTAATATATATATAACTAACCCCTACTTATATATCCCTCTTAACTTAAAGAATATAACCTTAACTAGGTTATATTAAATACTAAACTTTTTACTAACTAATTAGTAAAATTATAAGCTTTAGTAATATCTCTTATATAGCTAGATATTTAGCTTATTAGTTACTAAAACCTAAAGATCTAAATTAAATAATAAAACTTTATATAGCTTTATAGAAAAACCTAAACTTATTTACTAGCTAACTATTATTAGATAAAAAGACTTTATTAGAGGTAGTATATTA